AAAAAAAATACACAGAGGACCCCAGTGCTAATTAGAGGGGCTAAATGCAGTATTAATAGTACTTTTGATCGTATTTTTTTTACATGATTTATATGTTATTGGAAACCCTGTTACCAACAGAGTCAAAGACACGCAAGCAATTAGTTACTTACATAATTTACAAGGTATGCTTAAAAATTCATGGACCCTATCAGTAATTCTAAAATTCAGCTTATATGAGCATGAAAGATAAAGCAAGATCCTGCAACAAAACATTTTATTCTGTCTGTTGTAAACGTTGTGGACAAAAGTTTCCGTACGTTAATGTACAAATACCCGTATTAAAACATTTCATATTAACTTATCAACTGTTAGCTTTGACTAGAAAAATTTGAAGTTTTGATCACACAAAGAGAAGTCATAGAATGGAATAAAAATTTAACATACATTCAAGGAAATAATACGCTTTCAACTGTCTGTCTGTGATTGACAAGTGGGTGTGGCTTAGTGGTTAGCATTCTTGGATTGTGAATCTGAGGATTTATGGCCTGTTGGTGCAAAAACATAATCTGTGCCTCGGGACCGTGGGTGCACTCTAAGACTGACAGTTAAATGTTACTGTTCAGTCAGAAGGTAGAAAAGACAGCAAGACGTGGAAAAATAACGAAAACATTTTTAAAACACAACTCTCTGGAGAAATATAAAAGTGTTTCTCCAGATTATTTCAAGGCTGGCCTCAAACTGTTTACAGCTACACTGTGCAATACAAGGTACTCTAAACATTTGTATCCAGATTCTTTCAAGACTGGCTTCAAACTGTTTACAGCTACACTGTCCAATACAAGGTAGTCTTACCATTTGTCTCCAGATTCTTTCAAGGCTGGCCTCAAACTGTATATAGCTACACTGTCGAATACAAGGTACTCTAACCACTTGTCTCCAGATTCTTTCAAGACTGGCCTCAAACTGTTTACAGCATACTCTGTCCAATACAAGGTAGTCTTACCATTTCTCTCCAGATTCTTTCAAGGCTGGCCTCAAACTGTTTACAGCTACACTGTCCAATACAAGGTAGTCTTACCATTTCTCTCCAGATTCTTTCAAGACTGGCCTCAAACTGTTTACAGCTACACTGTCCAATACAAGGTAGTCTTACCATTTGTACCTTGTATTGGACAGTGTAGCTGTAAACAGTTTGAGGCCAGTCTTGAAAGAATCTGGAGAGTCAACGTATTTTTACTTATGTAACATATTGAGTACTGGTATGGATAACACTTATCCCAAAGAAAGATAATGTTTATTTAACCTGTGTTTTCAATGTAAGCTCGTTGAAATGCCGTACTCTTGGTCGACCTGTAAGACACGCATGAAATGTCCTCTTCATTCAGATCTTAACAAAAATTTCATTTACGCATCTTTATTAAGCTCACCTTTTCAACGATCAACTGTTGTTTCTGGTGCTTTTGTTTTTGTATTGCTATCTCTCTCCATAACATTTCATTTTGTTGTTTCAAACTGGTAAACAAAGAGATAAGATTTTCTTGTTTGTTCTGGATGCTTTTCACTTCACTGAAGACCTCCCGCATTAGTTCGTTTCCGATACAGTTTTCTTCTGTTGTTCTACCAGATGGCACCTACAAGAGATGAATATCGGATGTCAAAGTATATATATATTTTTTTTTTTTTACAGATTTAGGAAAATAACTTTTTCCCTTGCATCTTTTTTTTGTTTCAGAATTTTCACACAAATCTTTATCAACATTTTGCAGTATACAATTTTGAAGTGATATTCCCTATGGAAGGCAATTAGTCAACAGCAGACCATCACCATTCCAATTAGTGTAGTGGACAGTGTAGCTGTAAACAGTTTGAGGCCAGCCTTGAAAGAATCTGGAGACAAATGGTTAGAGTATTTGGATTTGTTTTGATAGATCATAGAATTCTGTAAGAGCTATTTAAAAACAATGGAAGTCAAATATTTTAACATTACATTCAGTGTTAAGCAGAGCATACAAAAACCAACTGACAGTAATGTAGTAAACAGTAGTTGAGGGCTATTTTACGCATTCGACTTACTGACAAGATAATTAAGAGATTACAGAAAGTCGGTAAACAGGAAATTAGGACATCAAAAGAGTATGTATGATAAAAGGTTGGCTGAAAATGTAAAAATAAGGTGCTTCATCAATTACTGTTGAAACGTATTTTTACTTATGTAACATATTGAGTATTGGAATGGATAACACTTAACCCAAAGTCAACGTATTTTTACTTATGTAACATATTGAGTATTGGAATGGATAACACTTAACCCAAATAATAGCATGCTCTTTATGTACAACCAAAATATCATACACATCAAACTTATCACATGCTCTTTATGTACAGCAAAAACATTATGTACACAATAAATTTCCAGACAACATAAACATGGTGGCAGAGTTATTACAGAATTTTATCTCTCAAATGATCAATTTTACTTCCACCGTTTGTTTGGTATTAAATCTGGTTTATCAATATGTCAATAAATAAATTACTAAGCTTAGATAAAGGTTTGTGTATGATATTTTGGTTGTACATAAAGAGCATGCGATAAGTTTGATGTGTATGATATTTTGGTTGTACATAAAGAGCATACGATAAGTTTGATGTGTATGATATTTGGTTGTACAT